TCTCCCCGACCATCTCCGGGTCCACCTCCCACGCCCACAACCCCCCAAACCCAAAATGCTGCACCACCGGAAACTTCCCCAGCACCTCGGCCCGATACATCTTCACCATCCCCTTATTAATCTTCCCCCACCCATCCTTAATCCCACTAATATCAAACAGCATCGGGCTATGCTCCCAAAAAGGCCCCCTCTTCACATCGTAGATGAACCCAATCGCCCCAAAGTACATATTACTCCCCCTGTAATCCTCCACCGTCTGTTTATCAACCGCACTCGCCGGCTTCGGCGCCCCCGGACATGACCCCTCCACAGCGTAGCCTCCGTCCTCCCCAAAATCGGTTTCGTAAACTGCGCCGACCCAAAAATATAAGGCACAAAACTGTGGTCATCCAACCCCCACACCCCATGCGATCCCGCCGGTTCAAGCGTGTAAGTCGTTATCAACTTCCTCACCACCTCCAAATACCTACTTCACGTTAGCCTCTCCTGCCGTTCCCATTCTCAAGACAAAAACATACATCTCGACAACCCCAATCACAACCTCCCTCTCCCTCTCCCCTTCTTTTTCCTCTCCCCCCCCGAAAAACCCCACCTTCCACAACCCGCCCAGAAACGCCAAAAAGCTCAGCTCATGGCCCGTTCCATAGTCAAGTCGTCCTTTATCCCCCCAAGCACCCATGAAATACCCCCTCAACTCCTCCTTCACCCCCCCATTTACCCCCAAACCCAACCCATCAATCCACCCCTGAATCCTCTCCCCCAATTTCCCATGCCAGACCCTACAAGCCCCATTACCAAACCTCCTGTTCTTGTTCTCCTCGGGCGGCGCCTCCAAAATCAACTCCTCGCACCCCCCCAACATTTCCCTTAACCTTCTCACCGGCTCGCTCCACCCTCTTCTCCCCGGTTCCAGCGGAAAACACACCGGTCTCGCAGTATCGGGCGACAGTCTCGGAATAAGCGAGTGATTCAACTGCATAATCCACACCATCAACTCTTTATACGCCCTCGACGTCAGGAAAAACGACACGTCAGCCCCAGAGTTGATCCTCTTTTGCAGGGGGCCAAATGCTTTCTTGGAGAGCTCG